TGTTTTCCGATGATAATGATATATCAATAATAATTAATCTTAAAAGCAGAATTTCAACTGAAAGTTTATTATTAGCCACTTCTCTAGATTTCTTTCTCAAAATAGATTTAAAAAATAGTGAATATTTTATAAATCAATATCAGGTAAAATTTAAAAACTTAAAAAATTGTTTTAAATAATTGTTTTCAGTCAATTTTAAATGTAAATCGTGATGATTTAAAGGCGGAGCTGCTCGTTGCGAAAAAATGTGTAACAAATTTAAAAAAGACTTTGAATTAGACAATATTAAAAAAATTGGGAAGAAGGATACATTTCCAAAAATATTATACAAACTGTTACAAGTATCTCTGACCATACCGATAAGTTCTTCAACATGCGAGCGATAATTCTCTTGTATGGGGCGCATTAAAAATTGGTTAAGAACATCAATAGTCCAAGATCGGTTTTCAAAAACCATTATAAATATTGAAATTGATATGTCCAATAATATAAATAATAATGACATTTTGGAAAAGTATAACTAGTTAAAATGTCGACGAATATAAAATATATTATAAATAAATAGAATATTTTATAACAGTTATTTGTATTTATTTTTTGATTATAAAATTATAATGTAATATTAGATTTCAAATTGAAGGAAATAAATTTGTTTGTTGCTATAGCCCCCCCCACATCCAGAATTTTTAAATTAGTTACGTCTATGCTAATTGGAATAATCAAACAGCTCTGCAGAAGGATATGGGCATATACCTAGGTATAAAAGGTACAAGATGTGACTATGTGACTAGTGACCTCTATATACTATTGTTATTTGAGATATTAATTGTGCGTTTAATAATAAATTAATATCATGGCTGGGATTATATTTTTTACTCTCATATTTTTGATCAGTGCTTACTTAACAGAAAAAACAAAATGTTTAAAGTTGAGTTACTTATATGTTTGGGTATATAACGGGTTTCACAATATTGTTGATATTGCTAACCACTTATACCAATAATTTGGTATAAAGAGAAACAAATAAGAAACTGAAATGATGCGTCTGGTCAAGTTTATTTGAGATAGTTAGTCAACATTTTTTTTTTTTATTTTAACTTCTCCAAAAATTGAAATATGGCAATTTTTTAATAATTACTCTTATAATAAAACAGTTTTAGGATTTTGGGGAATAATATCAAAAGTTTGGACTGACCGATCTCAACTAGACGTACAATTTACGTAAATCTTAACCAATATTTCGACGTAAGATCAATGTAGAATAAACGTAATTTTATCACGAAAAATGTACCAAGATGTGAACATGAAATCAATCTATTGCAACGTATATTATTATTTATATTAATATTATAATTTTATATAATTATATAAATTATACGAATTAAAAATATAGATTATACGTGCCATGTTTACTAAATATTCGACCAAAACACGCAGTGTCGGTTTATTGATACCGGGTAATTCAATTAATAATTTATAAATATATTATATATTAAACGTGCGACAGCAGTCAGTTGTCATAGAATTACTTTTTGATGTAGTTATATTTCTGTCCTTTGAAAAAAGTTTGCCCACTCCACCACTGAAACAATTTATGTTATTTTTAACGAAGAAATGATTTTTTCGTAACACACAAACCTATACAGGTGCAGGCGCATCGTCGACGAGTCTATAATATGAACTCGACGATTTCTCAGTTTAATGCATTTAAATATTTAATGTTGTATCGATATATTATTGCACTTTGCTCGTCAAATCAGTTGTTTTATTCCAAAAATGAATTTGCTATAGTGTTCTGTGCGCATTGACTTTTCACGCTCCGCTTGAAGCAACGATGTCTACACGTGCATTAAATTTGGACTGAAATTTTTCTTCAAACGCTTGAAATCGTGTTCGGAATGTTACAAATTATGTATACTAACATATATTTTCCTTATAGAGCAAAAAATTAAATTTAGTATTACTAAAATGATTTGACGGTTATCGACACAACTTGAAGAAACAAACGCATATTTACACCAGTCTTATAATAATTATCAGTTCCATTAAAATCCTCGATTTCGATTAAATTGAGGCCGTTGAGGGTCTGGGAACCAATGAGCAATGCACATGCATAATATACACATTTAGTTACGGTTTATTACAATATTAGGTATAATAACATAGTAATATCGCATACCGTTATACACTTATACTCACATGCTATACGTCCATACAGGAACCGATGCATTCGTCAATAATAAAACGAATTGCGTTTATGTTTTCATTGCCGTAAGTAGGTATTAGTAGGTATACCGTATGGACTAAGTAGTATACATTTGTATGTTCATAGCAAGCTTTTCTGTGGTAGCAAAAATTTTTCAAGAAAAAATGTTCCCTTGAAGACTTATATTTTACCGCATAACACAATACGGAAATTACACACTGATTGTCCACCAAATTTCGCCTCACATAAAAAAATATTTACCGTATTTCATTTTTACTCATGTTGGTTACACTGTTCTTTTTTTAACTAAATTTTATAAACAAATTTACAATATATTTTTTTTTTTTAAGTTATTTACTTTTTTTTTTTATTCAATTCCAATATTTTCTCAGTAACCACGTAAAACCAAGAAAATAATATGCCTACACGTGTTTATGCACTTTCTCTGTATCGGTGTAACTGTAGTGTGGCACGTGTTTAGAATTGTTCTTACTAAATTCACCAAATTAAATAATATATTGTTTAGTTGAAGCGATTTCATTTGTCATTAAACATAATCACATTTAAACAACCATCCAAGCCACGGTGGAATAGTTAAGAATAATTTAAAACATGGATTCTTATAAATAGTTCATACTATTTACTAAAATCATTATTCTCGGTTTGAATATTTAATTTCGTCCAAATTTTAATTTAAAATGTCTGTAAAAAATAACTGTGTTTATTTTATATTTTTTAGATGATTTCGTGTTTATTTGTCAAGTGCTTGATGAGTTTGATGAGTATTTCGCATTACTTCTCGGATTACGAAGTTTCAAAGTATTGGTTACTTACTATATAATATTGTTGAGTTATACAATTAATACCTGTTAGTATTTAAACCATGTAAACACAATGTCGTTTTCTAATAGATACTTATGCAGTTACGATACAGCTGTGCAACACCTTTAATATCGCTTTCTATATTATATACGGATACGGGATGGCCTCGATTGTTCATATAAATAGGGCCTTTGATGTATGTAATACTAACTTGCACAGACGCTGTCATACCGAGTGTACGCGGTGTGTGTGTACAGTCACAGTTTAATTGTCCAGTTGTACACTTGTACGATTTTGGTTACTTTGAAAGTAATACAGCGATACCTTCAATCGACATTAATGCAATTCAAAATGTTTACTCTAAAGTTCAAAATTTAATAGTTAGCCAGTTAAAAATTAAAATGGAATGGTTTAAAATAAAATCAGAAAAAAATCATAATTTATTAGTAGTCAATAATTTTATTCGTCGAGTGGATAGAATACGGGACAAAACCGAATATTATAAATGCATACAAAATTGCGGCAGGCTTGCTATTTTGAAAAATAAAACTGACGTAATATTATCGAAGCCTCACAATCACCCAACACACGGAGTTGAGTTGGCTAATCGTGGCTTTCGAAATAAATTGAAAGTAAGTACAAATTTAGTAATGTTTAAGCACAAATTATAAAAATATAATATCAAATATATTATAGTATATACTTATTAAGTGAATTATGCTCCGAGCCCTAATAATGATATATTATTTTATAATTATATAATGTTTGTTTTTTTTTCTAAACTTTGATTAATGAAGGAGGAACTTACTCAAAATCCCACGAAACCGGTAACTAAGACATTTAATGAAATTAGGAGATCTGTCATAACTTCAGGAATAGAAGGTGCTACAAATTCGGAAGTTATAGATGCTATTCCCGTATTCACCAGTATAAAAAGTTCGGGATACAGAAAAAAAATGAAAATGATTCCACCTTTACCGTCAAAATTATCAAATTTAACGATCGAAGGTGATTGGCGTTCTACAAATGATGGAAGTGATTTTTTATTAGGTAATTATTTTAAAATTTTAATCTATTCCATATAAATATTACAAGTAAATATAAAGTAATATATTATTTATAAAATAATTAGGTTCAGAAGGAAATGATAATAAAATGATTATATTTGGAACAGAAGGATTTTTAAAACGGCTTTGTAACAGTGAAATTATTTTCATGGATGTTACATTTAAATCCGCTCCAAAATTAACCTTGCAAATATATACATTACACTGCTTTGTAATGGGAGTTATGGTACCAATGGTATGTTATCATTTAAAATAGTATAATATTATATATAATAATAATATACTTATACGTCGATCAATATGTTCATGTCAATTTAATCGTGTTTATCGGATTTATTAAATACAATTTATAAATAAAATATTCGATAAGTGTTAGGTTTGATAAGAGTGTATGATCGGCGTATGTTGACAAAAGCAATTTTCCTATACTGAGTGATTTTTTTATTATTATGTAATGCAGTCAAAATGCAATTACTAAAAACTTGAAAAAACCTAAAACAATGTAAGAAAAAAAAAAAAAAAATCGAAAAATCGAAAAAATAAATTTTGAATTAACCTGTATATTATGAAATAATTCATTCATATCAAACATTATAATTTGAAATATTTATTTATATTTAGGTTAATGCTATTTTACCGAATAAAAGCACTAATACTTATACAAGGATGTTCAATATTATTAAAGAAGCTGCCTTGAGAAATGATTTGGCTTTTAAACCATAAACGTTTCAAATTGATTTTGAAATAGGAATGATTGTTGCCATTAGAGATTCATTTGGATATAATACAGAAATAAAAGGATGCCTTTTTCATTTTGGGCAATCCATATGGCGTCAAGTACAAAAAGTTGGACTAGCGCACGAGTATACACAAAATGACGAAGTAAAGAAAACTGTTCGAAGAATATGTGCGTTAGCACTGGTACGCCTACTGAAGAAATAGATGAATGTTGGTCAATGATTCATGCTGAAGCACCAGTTAATGAAAGTAATTTAAATCAATTTAATTATAATTTGATTAGTGTATCTTATATTATTTACTTTGTTTTAGACCTAATGAAACGTATGGACTATTTTGTGGATACATATTTAAATAATGATGCTTGCATGTTCGACCGGAAAATATGGAATCATTTCAACACTGATAAGACACTGACAACTAACCACCTTGAAGGTTGGCATGCAGCTTTAAACCGATCTATTAATCGACCAAAGCCAAATATATTTTTGTTGATAAATGAGATAAAAAATCAACAACAAAATTTTGAACTCGACATTGCAGCCCAGTAAAACGGAAATCCAAAACCATTAAATAAAATGAAGTATCGGAAGCTTGAAGAAAGATTAACAAATGCAAAGGATAGGTAAATATTATAAAATGGTTAATTTTTACACGTAGGATTGTTAATAAGTTATTTTGTACTTTATTTTAGATTGGAATCAAAAGAAATTTCATTATTGGCCTATATAGATATAATAAAATATCATATATATGTTACGGTAAAAGTACGAATAGCGGTAAAACCTAGGATTTACCTATAAATCGTAGGATCCTCTGACTGCTGGCGGTAAATGTCCGAATTTCGGACATTAACCGATTGATTTCGGTAAAACCTAGGGTACACAAAATATTTTAGTCAAACCCCGAATGATTTTTGTAGTTTGGACTTTTACAAACGAGATTTGGTAAATCTTAGGATAAACAATCACGGTTAGTAAAAGTCCGAAATTGTTTACCAAACCGAAATTATTATATTATAATATATTATGTTAAATTAAATTAATGTTACTATCATATATTATTATGACAACAAATTTTTATTTTTATTATTATTACAAGAGTTTAAACTATTATTATATTTTATTACAACAATACAATTATTTGTTTGTGGAGGCTTGGCTACTGTGACATTTTGAATTGCACAATACATTTTTGGATCGACACTTACATCGATTTGTTATACATTTCTTCAAACAGTCGCACCTTATTAACCCTTGTCCGCCAGTCAAAGGCAGTTGCGATACTGCTTGACGAATACCAATTTCATTCTCTGGAATTATTGCCGATTTAAAAAAATTTTCTTCGCATAAGGTGAACTGATTCCGAGTGAAAAGTTGAGAGAGTTTTCCTGCTTTTGTACCCAGGCGATAAAATTCTCCATCCACAACTTTTAACACCACAGCCAGTAATGTGCGGGCATCAACTTTACTTCGATCGACTTCCGGAATTTTAACCTTGAAGGTTTGTCCAATTAATACAGTTGGCATTTGCTTGTTTGACATTTCCTTCATTTTTCTGGCTTGTTTTTGAAGTCCAATATGTGATTTTTCTCGAAGTTAATTAATTTTTTGTGTCCGCACCGGTATTACATTTTCTATACGTCCCTTATTTCTACATTTTCATTTGCTAAAGTTTCATCATCCTTGTTTATTTCACAAACTTTAACTTTATTTTCATTTGGTTCTGTAAGCGCTGCCTCTAAATCATCTTCTGATTGCAGTCCTGGCAATACATTGTTACTTAGTTTTACGTAGGTACAACACAGTGTTACTTATAGCCGTATAGGGACAACTTTTATCACATCATTAAGATACAACATAGGTACCTTTTTGACTAATTTATTGACTGTATGAGTAGGTACACGTGTCAAGGTCTTTCGTTATTATCTATTATATTTAAGTCGAAATGAAAATCACTAAAATCGATCGTTGTAAAATGAACGCAATAGTTTCAATTTTGTTATATAATAAATTATAGTAATCATAATAATAATAATAATAAAAATTTGTTGTCATAATATATAATAATAACATTAATTTAATTTAACATAATAAATTATAATATAATAATTTTGAACTACATATTATACTAATTAACATTCAGCATAAAAAATATCACACAATTGGTAAAGAATTTCGGACTTTTACTAACCTTGATTGTTTATCCTAAGATTTACCAAATCTCGTTTGTAAAAGTCCAAACTACAAAAATCATTCGGGGTTTGACTAAACTATTTTGTGTATCCTAGGTTTTACCGAAATCAATCGGTGTCCGAAATTCGGACATTTACCGCCAGCAGTCGGCGAAACCAAGGATTTACGGGTAAATCCTAGGTTTTACCGCTATTCGTACTTTTACCGTAACATATACATACAATCATTTTTGTTTAATTTTTTTTTTATTTACAAGAACTTTAATTTATATTGACTTTTATTATATAACTAGTATAATAATAAAATGTATACGGTATACCTAGTATAATATAATGTTTATTTTTTTTATATAATATTTATATTCGGCGAATTGAGAGTCGGCGAACTGGGGTGTCAACAAATTGGGTTTCGGCGACGTGGGAAGACACGATGTTTACAGTTATTGGTTTCAAAAATAACAAATATTTTCCTGTTGCATTTAGTTTATTAAAAGATAAAAAAGAATTATCGTACACAGAACTGTTTTGTCTACGCTGAAAAGTAAATGTTTTGAAATGAATTTCATATTTTAACCACAACATATAGTTTCTGATTTTGAAAAAGGAATTCTTCAAGCTGCAAGAATAGAATTCATGGACACCACTTTGATTGGATGCAGATTTCATCTCAGTCAAGCCTGGTGGAGAAAAATAGTGGGATTAGGATTGACTGTAGAGTACAAGAATAAGAACCATCACAAGATCCATTAGGTATTTATAACGTGTTATACATCAACAATAAACCCTGATACTATGATAGATATATAATATAGTATACCAGCTACTTTAGAAGTTTCAAGTACCCACGAATAATATTATACAATCACAACAAAATAACTAAAATAATTCTGGTTTTTTTTTATGTAATTTCATATAAATTTGAACTTAAAATGACTATAAAAATAAACTGTGATTATGTATTTTTTAGATTTTTTGGTAACAAAATTAACTACTTACTTGAATCTTGTTTTACATTTTCAATAGTTAGATATAAAAGTTGAACATTTTATAAATTTTTAATTACAAAATAATTATTATATTTTAAATTTGGTACATTTTGTCAAAATTTGAACTTTAAATGCTTATAAAAAAAAATTGTGCCTATGTATTATTAATATTTTTCAACTGCTATTGTAACAATATATCAGGGGCCTTGCATTAATGTTTCACACTATTTTACCCAATAAATACAATTTTACTGATATTTATAGAAAAAAAAACTAAAAAATTGAAAACTGACAATGTCAGTAAACAGCTCAAAAAGAGTAAAATTATTTTCAAAATTGTATGGTGTATAGTCACAAAAGACTAATATCAACATTCAGTAAAATTTTCAAGTATTTACAGTCATTCGTTTTTGAACAACAATAAAATAACAAAACCCCTACATGAGAAATCGAGTGAATATAAAATATTGTAAAAATATGAACTTTAAAAGATCATAAAAATTTAATTTGATTTGTTTATAAACATTTGTTTTTCGATAAAGGTAGAAGAACTTATGAATAATCGTGTATTACATTTTCAAATCTTAGATTAAAAAATAAAATTTTTTATGAATTCTCAACTCATAATAATTTGCTAATTTTCGTGATTTTTCCGTATTTTGTCAATATTTGAATTTTAAATGCTTATAAATAAAAACTGTAACTAAGGATTTTAATGATATTTAACAAATGTCATTGTGGCAATACAGTAGGAGCCTTGTATTAAATTTTCAAGCTTTTTTACCCATCAAATAAAGTTTAATTGACATTCATAGAAAAAAATTTTGTGGAAACCCGATTTTACGTAAATATTCCCGTTTTTCCTTAATTTGTATGTTGTATTGTTGTTTTTCCGGCGCTTTTGAAAACTATTGGGAATTTTAAATGACCTTCCCAAATTTTCCTGCCCAATACACCAACAATATTTAATTTCCCATCGAACAAGATACTGAAGTTGAAAATTGAAGCATTATTTCGACTACTTATCGTGTACAAAGATACAAAATTAAAAAAAATAAAAAATAAAAAATAAAAAAAAAACACACATCATTGTAAAACCTATACATTCATCTTTCCACTCAGAATCTAAAAGAACTAAAATAAAATAATATTCATAGGTCACAATTTTTAAAACTTTTATTAAATAAAAGTAGGTACGCTTTTACATTTTCTAATGCTTACACATAATAATCAATATAGAGCATAATACATTAATCCTTATATTCCAATTGAGGGTAGTATATCCGTTGTTATCATGGTTTCTTTCGTACCTTACCGATAGATTTAAATTTGTTTATTTATTTAAAAAAATCAGATTTCATAATTGCATAATTGCTACACCAGGTATTCAGGTGTAATACAAAGTGGACATTTATCACCACTCATATTAAAAAAAAAAACTAAGTGGATTTAGTGACCACTGTATAAATTCATATCTATCTCAAGTCCCCCCCCTCCAATCAAGACAAAAACCTTTCAAACAAATATAATATTATTTTATGTACAGACATATAACATGTATTTTTTTTATCATTAGAAAATGTATTGTACTTCTGTTGTGCATCATACGCAATATAATGCAATATATATTTTAATCTGCAACTAGAATTTTGAACACCATATTTAGAAAGACCAAATGTTTAAAGTAATTTTGACCTTGGCTTTAAATAACTATAAATTATTGATTTTTTCAAGAATCACTCAGGGATTTTCCAAGTTTCAATGTGATTTCACGTATTTTGTACCTAACTCGTTGAAATTCAAGTACCTATCGTAATTTTCAAAAGGTTAAAAGGACTTAAAGTAAAACACTCTGTAGAGTAGGTACTTACCTACTTTTCACAGACGAAGCATCCATAATAGGTGAATATAATATTATTGTGATTATGTTTACACACATAATACAAAAATTTCACTGCGTACAATGACAAAAATAATTTTTATTCAAGTATAATTTAACAATAAAAACATATCAAAAGTACATGATAATATACAAATGATTTGATCACTACTCATCACTTTTATTTCTACACCAGTTATTCAATGTTATCGCATTCGTAGAAAAAATAAAACTAAAAATTAACACAGACGAAACCAAAATAAAATATTATATTCTTAGTTTTTCTATTATCATTGTAATTATTATTATTAGGACTTAGTAGTTTTGTTAAAAATTTAATTTCCGAAGTCGGTGCCCTTCGACAATCGTTCCCTAATGCATTTTTCTATGCATCGCAATGGCACTCGACTGATGACAATAATTTATTTCTCAAAGCATGATAGGCGTGGACGGTACTCTTGCCTTTCGCTGCACCTGACATTTTTTTTTTGGATTTAGTGAATGTCTTATTTATAAGGCTTAAATAGAGTTATTGATTTTAAAAATATCGAGTTTAAAATATAACTGAAATATGAATGTCCTCCAATGTTAATCAAATTAAAAGTGATAAACATATTAATTATAGACGTGAAAAGTCTACAAATAGTTGAGTTTTATATTAAAAGACACATCAGCACACCAGTACATCAGGGGCGTCCATTTATAAGGGAAGGGGTGGAAACTAAATGTACAAACTCAGTCTTTGCATAATATTATATTTATAATTATATAGCTTATAATAAAATATATATTTATTTTTATAAATTTATTTTAAGAGGAAGTCGTATCCACATGTGTCATCTCGGTCATGGCCATGGCATATTTAACGTTCAAAATATTACCCTGTTGTTTTATATTCACCTTCTATTATAAAGTTAAACGTAAGATTATTATTTAATGTAAGTAGATCAAAGTAATTTTTTGTACCTATTATGACTTTTAAGGAAGTTAAGAGTAAGATTCAAATTTGTATGTATTCACAAATTTTTCTAGTTGGTCGTGTATATTGTATGTCAAGCACAAAATATGTTCCACGAATGTGTGATTCAAAATACGATTTTTAGAGCATGTTTTATAATTTTATGGTCACATTTGGTCTTTTAATTCTTATTTTAAAGTAGGTAACTCAACATGTATTTTATTTATCATTTTTACTCAAATGTCAAAAAAATTATTTTTGCTGTTGTTTATTTATGGATCAGATAATAACTTATTATCTTATAATCTTGGTAAATAATGTAGTATAAATTATTAACGTTTACTATTACTTAATAGATTATAGTAAATGATAATATTTAATAATAAATTGTTGGCTATTGGTTGAGACATTAAAAATTAATTATTTTTATATAATTATTTTTTCGGAAATAATAATAACAATTAAAATAAGAACATTGCTTTGAGTTGTTTGATATTAATTTTAAGTCAATTTCATAATATTTTTATTTTATAAAATAAGGTTTTATGGGTATATTTGGCCATTTTAACGGCATAAACGCATATTTTTAAGCGCTCATTTCGTGATTTATTAATGCATACAAATTTGGGCACAAGTTATAAGTATTATTTAAAAATGCTCATAGTTTGTGTTAAAATTAGATTATCAAAAAAATACTAATCGGGGCCTTAACAGGACGCTAACCAGATATTTGTTGTCTCCTTCTTACAAGTGCGTAACATAAGAAATTTAAGCTTAGCAGATTCCGTTGGTTTAAAAATTTGAGTGAATCGACCTATAATGAAATTTGATGGTAACTGGTAAGAACATTATCTCTGTTTGCTCACGGGTTTTTTTACGATAATTCAGTTTTTAAGTAAGTTATAAGAATTTTTAATTTAGGCTATACTATATACACATAACTTGCTAAGCAACTGAACAGTCGTACAAAACCCAAATACAAACACAGATAATATTCTTACCATTAAGTCTCATAATAGGTCGATCACTCTAATTTTTAAACTAACGGAGTTAAACGTGTTAAACGTGTACGCTGAGCATAAACTTACCATGTTTTGCAGTTGTAAGACGGAGACAACAAATGCCCTCATAAGTAATATTTTTACTTTTCAATTAGTCAAAATTACTCTAACATTAAAAACAACAGTGTAAAATCCATTATTCTGAACTTAAAATTTGATATGTTGTGCGTTAATTCGACAACACGTGCGAGCAGGAGTCGACGTCCTCTCAAGAGGTTACGGATGGTCAATTTTAACCTCATAATATTAAGCAACAAAATATAATGTCAACTTAACCATTTAACTCAATTACCTAGTAATCAGTAAGAATCATTCATATACAATTTTATTATTACCTACTATTAATGTAAATTAAAAAAAGGTGGGCAAGTGGGTGTCGCTCTGCTGTACAGTAGGTTACAAGTGGATCAGCGATTTTTTTATATTTTCATTTTCAAGCAAAATATGGAACAGATAAAACTTTATTGATATTTATAGAAAAAAAACTAAAAAAAATCGAAAGTTGTAAATGTCCGTAAACAGCTGAAAAAGAGTCAAAATATTTTCAAAATTGTATGGTGTATAGGAAATGCTAATATAAACATTCAGTGAAATTTTAATGTATCTACAGTTATTCGTTTTTTAATTACAACAAAATAAGGAAATTGCTACATGAGAAATCCGAGTGAATATCCAATGTTGTAAAAATTTGAATTTCAAACGCTCACAAAAATTTAATTTGAGTTTCTTATAGACATTTTTTTTTTGATAAATGTAGATAATCTTATAAGGAATCTTGTATTACATTTTCGAATCTGAGATTTAAAAAGAAAAATTTTTACGAATTCTTAACTCAAAATAATTTGCTAATTTTCGTGATTTTTCCTCAACTTTTGAACTTTAAATGCTTATAAAAAAAAATGTCCCTAAACAGTTCAAAATAAATCAAAATATTTTGAAAATATTATCGTGTATAGAAAATGCAAATATAAACAACGAGTGAAAATTGCATGTATGTACGTTCATTTGTTTTAGAGTTACACCAAAAACCAAAATCGATTTTTTGGAAAACCGATTTTGCGTAAAAATTCCCGTTTTTCCTTAATTTGTATGTTGTTTTTCCCGGCGCTTGTGAAAACTACTGGGAAATTTTTACTTTTGACCCAACAAAGTACCAACTAGATTCACTTTCCTATTAGAAAAGATACTGTTGAAGAAAATCCAAGCACTTTTACTGTCCTAAAACGTGATGACAGACACAAAAAAAAAAAACACACACATCATTGTAAAATCAATACATTCATCGTTCCACACAGAAAAATTAACTTTTGAAACTAAGAATTTTTTTTTTTTGAAAACCTACATGTTATGGGTGGGGGTGGTACTGCCCACTTTTCCCAACTCTTGAAGACGCTCCTGATGTACACATACTCCGTGGACATTATTATAGTAATTACAGCCGTTCAATCGGCGCAGCGACACAGTCCTCAACCCGACAATAGCCCACAACCCATGATTTGCTTGACATGTCTTGATACTTGACGACATTTTACTCGATCGGATGACAAACGAGAACTTCACTATTTTATCCCACTCACATTTATTTATCCGTGTCGTTAAGAGGGAAATAAGTGGCATGCTTATAATTTTATTATTATCGTACTGGTCGAAACCAGTGCTGCTCCAAAGCAAAACATAGCCCCGCGGCACGATCATGACTTAAATAATAAGTACCTCTATATCATAATAATACCTACGAAGGTTGGGCGTATATCTATACAATTGATTATACAATAATAAATGTCCTGATTTAAACCAGTGGCATGGCGAACTTGAAATTGTCCAGAGGTTAGTCTAGTGATGATCAAAATTGGTCTTGGTCTTGCGGTCTCGCAAGACTCTTGCTGCAAGACCAAGACCAAGATGGTACTGGTTTAGCAATACCAAGACCATGATTAGGCTTGCAAGAACAAGACCAAACCAATACCAAAGCTGCAAGACCAAGAACAAAACAAGACTATCACTGCAAGACTCTTGCAGTATTGCACATTTTTTTTTTCCCCGAAAACACATTAGTTTATCTAGATTTTAATAACTAATAATTTATAACGAAAATAATAAGAAACTATTTGCATTTTTATTAAATTTGATCAGTATTCGAGGAAATGGTGAATTATTGAAAAAAAGATCAGAAATAATTGGAATTAATATTACAAAATAACATAGTTGTTTCATACTAAATAGTAAATACTGAACAATTATTTTATTTTCCCAAAATCGATATGATTTATATTGTCTATTGCCAATATATTATATTAAAAGAAACTTAAACATTTAGTACTACAATACTGGACACTGGTGAATAAAATAAGAATAAAAGTTTAATTATAAATAATAAATATTATCATTATAACAATAAAATTATTAAGCAATTTAATATTTGGAACAAGCCATACAGTTTTTATTAATAATATTATTTATTAAAGTGAACATTAAAAAATAACAATTTAATTTTTATAAATTTTATATTGGTCAATAGTTAGTAATTATTAATTAGTAATAATCTATTTATATTTATTATAAATGTAATAGGAACTTAAAAAGTTAATTACGATGGTAAATTGATGAATCAAATACAAATTCAAGTAAAATAATATAAGCATAATTTTATTTAAAATGCAGAGTTTTAAACGAGTATAATAAAAATTAAATTGTTTCTTAATGTTTGAATTATTAATATACTATATAATATATTGGATTTAAGTTTCATCTTAGCGATCATAGCAAAATACCTACACACAGCTCTAATAACAGTATAACAGGTATTTAGTTTTTTTTTTTATATATATTTTGTGAAAATAGCAAGAGTCTTGCAAGAGTATTGCGCAAGACCAAGACCAATATTAAGGTGTATACCCAAGACCAAGATGATAGTCTTGGTCTTGGTCTTGTTTTGATCATCACTAGGTTAGTCTATCATATTTCACCCCCGCCCTGCAGCACCAGCAACCCGATGAAGGTGCGTTCACCGCCGTCACATTTGTAACTATACCAGTCCTGGGTAGTTATTACTAAAATAGGTACTATAGTAAGTTGATACTATAAATTATCACCTATAATTGCTGGCCATATTACCCATTCACCGCCCCTTAGGAAACTCATAGGCGGCAGCCTCTCGATCACCCCTTCACCATCCCACTGGTTTAAACGTTTTACAGCGTGGGGTCGTTTGCATAAGATCCTATTTGAGCGTACATGTTCCTCACATCGTAACGCAAATTCTGTCCCCGATTTTTGTGGTCTTCGTTGGTCTCGTTAGGTAAATGACCGTTTTGACGTGGAACCGCCGGCCCAGAAACCGCGTGTCCTGCAGCCGTGGTTCGCTTTTCCGGGTTGACTTGGCGGATATCGGTGTCGACGTCGACACCGTGTTCATCGTCGTCCCGGTGGAAAACTGGAAAGTTCTCGCCCTTCATCGTCTCCACCAGCGTGCCGATGAACGTATCTTGTACTCGCTTGTCGTCGGTGTTACCGTCCACCTGAGCCATTAATAGACACACAAAGTCATTGTAATTATCAACATATCATACGCAATAAAGAAATGGTATCCACAAAAAAAAAACTCGGAAAACTGGATTTTTCGGTGGAGAATTGGTAAATTTTAGTTTACCAAAAATGTATTGAAAAAATAGTTTTTCTGAAAAATATGTAGGTAGGTATTGTCAATTATGTGTGGTTGACTATACCTAATATAAGAGTGAATCGATATATTATCAAGCTTAAAGGTTATACTATATGGTAACTAGGGCATATATTTATTGATACACAAATTTAAAAGCTTATTTGATAATTTTAAAATTGTTATATTTATAAACACCTTTACAAAAATATATCCTAAATAATATTTACTATTTAGTATACCTAATTAATAATGATGTAATTTTTAAAGGCAATAGTATTACCTAACTATATTTTTAATTTCATTCAGCAGAATACTTTTTTGAATGATAATGATTTATTGAAACAATTTAGGTACTATTGGCTTATTATATTTTGATAATTAAATATTGTGTTATTATTGATACGACAATTGATTTTATCGACGTTATTGATGTTTAAATAAACATTTTTTAGCAAAAATGAGGGCTATGACTTCGATGCACTTTTCATTTTTTTTTTAGAGGTTGCTGTACGATGCACGTCTGGTCACAAATACATAACATGTGTACTTTTGAATGAGAATAAGAAAATTTACTTTGCATTTTTTTGCCTTTTATAACAATTTTTGATTTTAACGTAATTTTCTTAATTGTTTAGGGCAATACAGAGTTTTTAAGGCTTTATTGGAGTTTTTGGGTCCAAAATTCCAACTTCAAATTTTATTTTAAAATTGTACACTCTAAAGTGAGTGTGATATAAATTTATATATTTTTTTTTTATAAAACAAACAATAAAGTAAGTACCTACTCGAAAAATAATTTTTTCACATTTTTTTATCATTCATTTTTACAATTTATTAAAAATAAAAACAATTTACCTGCATTTTTTAAGTGCATAATTTAGAATTTTTAGGGCATTAAAGTACTTCTTAGGGTTTTATAGGGTATTATATTCCCTGCCCTAGTAATAATCAACATTCTTTGCTATTTTATTCTACATATTATGTATCTATATAAGTAATCTTATAAACAAAAGGAAACGGTAAAAATTTGAATTTTTTTTTGTTATTATAATTTTTTTAAATACAAACATTGAATATTTTATGATGATTAAAAGCATTAATAATATATTTAAGAATTACTGCGTGTATTAGAATTTTCTTTAATTTTTAAACAAGAAATGAAAGTGTCTTTCAATTTACTAATATTATAATACTATTTATATTATAATTATTAATTATATTATTCTTAACTTGCTTCCACGAATGTACTGATTACTGAACGCCTATATTTGAATTCTCAACCGGTCAATTTTGTCCATAGTTTAATAATTTATTATATGTTTAAATGTTCTATCGTCCACTCACTACTGCTAAGCGGTTGTCTTTATCCAGTGCCTTGAGCATCGGTAGAGTTTGTTCGCGGAAACTCTGCAGACGCCGGCGAAACGCCGACACGCTGTCGTCTAGCCTTCCGCGACCTAACTGCAACTTTGAGCAATCCAATAGTATCAACTTCGGTCGTTGAGCATACTGAAAAATAATGTCGTGCACATATTATTTGATATTTCACATTATGATATTTTCGTATTATTACTCAAAAGTAACTATAAAAGTATAACGAAGACAGCACGTTATATGAAATATAATTCATATTACCAAGGCCTAGGCATTAACTATTGTAAAACGTTAAGTTACTTTAAACTAAGTCACATAACGAGTTATTTTTTTTAAGATGTAACTTCCAACGCAAAGAGTTAATTTTTTTATCGTGATAAGTACCTTTTTTTCAAAATAGTTGAGCTGTCCAATATTTCTTGGATAACCATCGATCACGATACCCTCTGCATTTTTATACTTGAGTAACTCTTTATCTAATATTTCATGAACGATCGACTGCAATTTTATAAAAACAATAATATAGTCAGTGATAAGAACGACGATATTATTATCATCGTCACCTCTTCGAGGATATGTCCACTGCTGATCGTCTCTTGTAGCGGATCTAAGGACGACGCCAGTGACCTCATTAAAGGTCCAACGCTAACGTGCCCCCAGCCGGCGTTGGCCCTGAGCACTTTTTGGCACAATGAACTCTTGTTGCTGCCGGGGCCACCTGTGCACATCAACGCATGAATTAAGGATTTTCGGACAAAAAAATTGATACCCAAACACGTCCCGTCCCGTCAGAATCAAACGGCCAAAAAAAGTATTAGAAATAATATATTTTAGTATAAAATTAAACATAGGTTAGAATATATTATTAATCCATCTTAAAAGCCACACGAGAAATTCATTCAAAAATACTTTTCAAGCTCATAAATTATTCGTGTCACATAGAAAGGTCGAGAAATTCATTTTCATTATAATTTGCTGATGTGTTTGAAAAATAAATAATTTTATTCTGCTTAGTGAATTTATTCTCATAAAAATTGGTTTCAACTATATTGCCAAACATGGATAATCCTTAAGTATCAGAATTTAATTCACCATAAAAAAATACATTTCTCGTTTGTGGTTCAAATTAATTTCGTCTACGGACAGCCATTTGGGGATCTTTTCGCTAGTAGAGTGTAAAAAATAGTGTACTGTGGCTGCACCTTTAAGTTATTAGTCAGGCTGATATGGAAAAAATGCCAAACGAGCATAATGTGGCTAAAATGCGATCCACTCATCATTTTGGGTGAGGCCTACGTCGTTTGTGTTATTCTCTCGATAGCACTCACCCACAACGCAAATGGTTCTCGGAAACGTTTCTGGTTCCGAGACGAGGTCCGTGGCCCGTGGTTCCGACACGAGATCGATGGTGCGGTGGCTGCTCGGTCGTTCGACGTCTACTTCCGGTTGTCCGGCACCCGGGTTGTCCACGGGCACGGTACCGTTGGCCACTGCTACCGGCGCCGGACTCTTGTGGGCGCTCAATATTTGCAGTACCGAGGACCGGAAGTCGTTATACACTTCCGTCGGACTCCGTTCGCCATTCACCTTCGGACATGACAACGCGTACACATTAGAATAAACACACACAGCACCCGCATAGTAATTTTATTATAATTATTATAATTCTTCCGTCATAAGCCATTTTGTTAAAATCGATAGATATTCAAATTATCTATCGATTCCCACAATAAAAATGAATATATAATAAAATAACAAAGAAGGTGGTTGGTATGTATATGTTAGCGTTAATGTATGAAATTCCGTAATTCTATAGAATAACTAGTTATTTTATAGAATTACGGGTACTTTCAGTTAATGTATTGAATGAATCCATAAATATATACTTCAACTAGTTATTCTACATACCAACTAGATATTTTATAAACTAACAATAAGGGTTTAGTTAATGTATTTAAAACTATTATTGAATAAAAGTGTTAATCAAATTACAAGTTACAAACAAAATCAAATATTATAGTATTAAGTCAAACAAGCCTGACAATATTATATAAAAAAATTAATATTAATTTATTTCACATCAATTTATTAGAATAATTATTAAAATCTTAATCAATTTACAAATTAAAAAATCAAATGTTATAGTATAAGTCAAACACACCTTACATTATTATATAAAATATTAATATTAATTTTTTTTCACGTCAATGTATTTGTATAATTTTTTTTTTAAAATTTACAATTTATTTATTAGTACAGGAACTTTTTTGGTGGCATTTAGAATTTCAAAGTAAATAATTTTTTAAACATATGCACCGTTTTGTGGTGCACTTTTGTTGGCATGTACATTTAAAAAACCCTTGTCCATTACCAATTGATCGGATGCTTTCCGAAGGCAAATATCTACATCTGGAACGTCACTAAGCGTAATAAACTTTTCTGTGCATAAACTAAATTGTGACCTTGCGTAAAGTTGTTTTAGTATACCGTATTTAGTTCCTAAAACAAAATTATTTGAATTATTAATAAATAAATAAAAAAAAAATTCTTTTTTTCCTGTTTTAATACGTTTCATTTCACTTATTAAGAAATCATATTTTTCTTTTAGCAAAAACGTGCTGTTATTACGCTCTGTTGTTGTATTTTTTATAATTGTATCAAATTTGGTTTTCATTTTAAAGTACACTTATTAGTTATTACACTATACAACACTAAAAATGATTAAACTAACTAGTAAGTAAACTCGCAGTACACTGTCACACGAATAAGTCTAGTCTATGCCAAATGGTGTGGTTCAATACTATCTTATTTTATTATTTTTATTAATAACAACAACGGTAACAAATTTTGTATGTTATCTAAACCAGTCCCGGTCATCTACCTAATGATATAAATTTCATACATTAACGAAAACCCAATCGGTATTTTATGTATTAACTAGTAAAACCATGTAATTTATATATTAACGAACATATTTAGGAATTTTATAGAATAACTAGTTATAATAGTTAGAATAGTATAATAGTATAATAGTATAGAATAACTCGTATTACATACATTACCGCTAACATATATACATGCATAAAGGATAGAATCAAATAACCAGTATGTCCAAATACTAGAACAAGAAGTAGAAAGTTATCTGGAGTTATACTTCTGTAGTATGTACCTGATTATTATATGTACAGAGCAGATTATTTAACTATAGGTATGTCCAACAAAATTCAAATTTTGGGTTTAAATTTAACATTGGTCCCAAATAGAATTGAATAATTATTGATATTTATACTATGTTACGCGTAACTTCTTGATATTGAAGAACTTATAAGCATAATTTAAAAATAATTACATTTAGTGTATTTATAAAGGCATATGTACAATGTACATATGATTACAACTTAATTGGATATCTAAAATTGTAAAACACATAATATAGGAACATCACTTTATGAACAAATATGCCAATTATATAACAAGGTATTTGGTAGTAACTACTGAGTGCCCTCCCTTATCTGTCAGTCTCGCTATGTAAATATCTTGAATCAAAATTACCTATTGTTGTATCACTTGTACTGATGTTGTATAGATTGTAATTAATCATATTTTTTTAATAAAAAAAAAACTCCAAATAAAAGCGCACTTATTTATTGCTTTTCGATGTATGATTCATATAAGCCAATATGGAGTAAGTCCATTAAAACCCATAAAGATGTATGAATTATTCTTTGTGTTCAATAATTATCGTAAAGAATAACATATTAACATTCAATCTTTTTAATTTTTGAAAAACTATTATTTTTTCTCTGCAGGCTAATTTAATGAAAAATCTGTTTAATTTTTTTCTGAAAAAAGTTTTAGGAATTACTGCATATAGTGGCTTATGACAAAATAGCTATTATAAAATATGTCGATTTTCTTTGCGATTCAACACTCACCGAAATGAGCATTCCTCTCTGGTCGTAAAAGTCTGACACCGGAGTAACGTTTTTGTAGAAGTTGTTCAACTCCATCCTGGCCAGACTCAGGACGACATGCCCCAACTTTGCACCGTAATCGATTTGGCGTTCTAGCACGTTTTGATTCCACGATATCAGAATAACTCCATTTACGACTTTGATCTAAACAATACCAACATCATTATCCGTAAATCAGGGCTTGCATTTGAAAAAAAAATTCCGTTTTATATCATTTACAATTAAAAAGTTACACACATTTTGGGTTTATCGTTACCTATTTAGAACTAAAACGTTATACAAGTTTTGCGTTTATCGTTATTTAAAATAATGTTAATACCTATAATAAATTTAAAAATAATAACTAATACGAGTAGGTAATGACCCGGATACGGAATATAATCAGTTCTTAGATTCTTTGCATAAAATAATTTTTTCTAGTTTTCTACGAAACCAATAGACCTTTTAAATAAATAGATTTTAAAACATTTCGTTTTGCATTATTTTTTATTCAATAATATTCTATAAATTACGTTTTGTGTCATTTTTCGTTCAACGATACTCTATAAATTACGTTTTGCGTTATGTTTTGCTTAATGATATATAATATATTCTGTTAATCGTTATGTTTTGTTTTGCGATATTTTATTTTATTTTATTCGTTTTAATTACATTTATAAATTTCAATCGTTTTTGTCAAATATAACGTTATTATAACGTTTGCAAGCCCAGAATAATTTGCGTTACAAATAATATTTTACACAGTCACTAATCATTATCATTAATTAAACTATGTTTGAATATATTTTATCAACGTCCACTGGAATTATAATATTATATCAATTTTAAAAGTTCCGAGTAATTTGATAGAACCCATAGGAGCTTAACATTTTTTTTTTACTGAACACGATAAAATGCAGTTATATGTCAATATAATTTTCAGGTTCAAACAAATAGTAAAAACTAAGTATAAGTAATATGAATAACTTAATACTATTTGAAAACTAAATAATGATTTGATTTAAATAAGTACCTTATTTGTGTATTCTACTACATCGCGCATATTTCTTGGGAATCCCGATACCAAAAACGTTTTGGCTGCAGGAGACATTTTCAACTCCAACATCAATACTTCAGTGACCGTTTTACTGGAGAGTTTGCTGAAGTCTTCCATATCTGAATAACGGTTGCACGAAATTATTATTCGTAGGTACATAACAAAAAATAAACACCTCCTACGATTAATATTCAGACAATAATTATTACAAGAAATTCAAATGATTTATACTTCAAAGATAAAAATCTTAGATACGTACAGGCAAACATGCAGTTTGGCACTAAACAATATTGTGTCAAGTGGATATACTATTGTGTGGCTTATATAATAAGTCATTCAACTACCTCAATGATATTTACATTTTAGATTCTGAGCAGAGCGAGGAAGCTATAGTAATTTTACAATGGTGTTTATTTATTTATTTTTTATTTTATATCCTGAATACAAAATTTCTATCAGAAGGAGTTCTTTGATTACAACATATAGTACCTTATCTTTTAGCAAATTGGATCAAGATGGTATTTTAAAGAGGTCTTTTTCGATTTTCTCAATACTAAATGCCACGGGAAAAACCACCATCAAATTACAAAAAAACCCTAAAAATGGGATTTTAATTTCTAACGCCTTGTTTATCACCATAGAAATGAAAAAAAATAATAATCTGTATAATATGTAAAAATATGCTTTTGAATACATTTTATAACTCAAGATCCTCTAAACCTTTCGAAATTTCAGGGTATATTAAGATTGATGTATAGATAGTTTGTGTGAAGTTTGAACTCTGTGCGATAGGTGGCTCCAGAGTTATGGCCTCTTAAGTGCACACCTGGCGACATGGCCAAAAACAACAACAAAATGTATGAAAAATGAAAAAAACCTCTATATCTATATCTATATCTCTGGAACTACTCATCAGAACTTCTCGATTTTTTTTAAGAGTTTAACATGGAGAAGGTTTTTAAGAAAGAAAATTTTAGGAAAAGCCACCGGAAGAGTAGGAAATTTGGATGACAAAAATACAACAGTGACGCAACAGGTTAAGTTATGATTTTGTATTAATTGATTATTACATTATCACCATATTATTTTACTATCACCATAGGTAGTATAAGACAAACTTGATATAACTTTGATACTTTAGAGTTAAATAATACACTTACACAACGTACAAACTGCTCGGGGTCCGCGATCTACAGCAGGTTGTTTATTAGAAAATATAAAATTAATTTATAAAATGTTAAATTATAATAATATTATATTAATAAAATACTCAACAATTTGTGATATTTTATAATATTATGTATATTATATTATATTATAAACATGAATATCAACTTCTAAAAAAAGCAGGTAACTAGATGTCGCTCGGCTGTACAGTAGATTACAAGTGGGTCATTGCATAATGGATTGTATTAAACTTGAATTCAATGATATACTATTATTGTATAAGAAAAACGATTCTGAGAGAGACGTTTTGTCAGTCTGGATATTTTATATTATTATTAATTATTATATAATGTAAGTTGAATTAATATTATAATATTATTATTTTTTATTCGTTTCTATGATGATAAGCAAAGTGTTAGAACTTAAAATCACATTTTTAGCGGTTTTTCGTAATTTTTTGGTTGTTTTCCCGTGGCATTAAATAACTATTGATAAAATCGAAAAATAACCTGTCTAAAGTACCACCTTGATCCAATTTGCCAAATGTTAAGGTACTATATGTTGAAATCAAAGCACTTCTTCTGGTAGAAATTGTGTATACAAGATATGAAAAAAATAAACACCATTGTAAAACCACTTCCTTCCTCGCTCCGCTCAAAATCTAAAATAGAGTTTTCAAAATTCGAGTTCATTTGTAACCTGCATAAAGTATAAGTCTTACAAATAAAATATGTTTATTTAAATCTAAATAATTCACGAGGCCTGAGATTTTTCCAACGAGTCAAGTTTTTGGTACTAAAAATGCTTCGACTCTCTCACCAAAAGGCAAAAACCCAATTAATCTTTTATTATAAAAATGTTGTGATACGTATTTTTACAGGTACCAAATCGGATTCTGTAATTAATTTTAGATTCTGAGCGGAGCGATGAATGTATTGATTTTACAATGATGTGTGTTTTTTTTGTGTCTGTGTACACGATAAGTAGTCGAAATAACGCTTCGATTTTCAACTTCAGTATCTTGTTTGATTGGAAAGTGAATATCGTTGGTGCATTGGGGAGGTCAAAATTTAAAATTCCCAATAGTTTTCACAAGCGCCGGGAAAAACAACATAAAAATTAAGGAAAAACGGGAATTTTTACGCAAAATTGGTTTTCCAAAAAATCGATTTTGGTTATTGGTGTAACTCTAAAACAAATGAACGTATATACATGAAATTTTCACTGGATGTTTATATTAGCATATCCTATACACCATACAATTTTGAAAATATTTTGACTCTTTTTGAGCTGTTTATGGACATTTACAGCTTTCAATTTTTTTAGTTTTTTTTTCTATAAATATCAATAAAGTTTTATCTGTTGGGCCAAAAAGTGTAAAAATTTAATACAAGGCTCCTGATATATTGTTACAATATCAGTTGAAAAATATTAAAAATACATAGGCACGATTTTTTTTTATAAGCATTTAAAGTTGGAATTTTGACAAAATTTATCAAAATCTCGAAAATTATCAATCGTTGGAATTAAAAAATTATAAAATGTTCAGTTTTTATAACTAAGAGTTGAAAATTTAAAACAAAGATTCTCTTAAATAATTCATACTGTAACCAAAAAATCTAAAAATATATAAACACACTTATTTTTTACAGACATTTTAATTTCAAATTTAGACAAAATTTCATATTTAAACCAAGAATTACGATTTTAGTTATTTTGTTGTGATTGAATAATATTATTCGTGGGTACTTGAAACTTCTAAAGTGTACTATTATATATCTATGATAGTATCACGGTTTTTGTTGATGTATAACGCGTTATAAGTATCTAATGGATATTGTGATATGATTAGTTTGGAATTTATAATAGGTACCTATTATAGGTCAATTTTTTGTTTAATACCATAGATATGTATATAATATGTCTTATACATAGACTGACATACCGTCACCGCTCAGAATCGTTTTTCTTATACAATGATATAATATCATTGAATTCAAATTTAATACCATCCATTATACAGTGACCCACTTGTAACCTACTGTACAGCAGAGCGACATCCACTTACCCACCTTTTTTTTTATTAATTATTAAATTAAAAAAAAATACATTGATACAATATGTTTTAATTTTTAAGTGAAGTAAATTGTTTTTGGAATAAACTATACAGAAATATCTTAACTGTAATAATATTCATAATTATTCATATAGTTACAGTGATTTGATAGTATTTCATTTTTTGAGTGGAAAAAGAAAGAAGATTCCAATAATTATTCTAAGAAATATCATATAAAATAAAGTTTTTACATTAAGTTTTTTCTTTCTTAACTGTAACCGAATAATAATTATTTTTATAACAGTTAATATTACTTTTAATTTTTACAGTAACATGTTTAAATATAATTTTTGTATTTTAAACTTACTTCTTGGTGGAAAACACTTCATAGGAGTTTTTAGTATTTCACAGGCGTAAGGGAACGGTTATAAAAAAACGCTAACGAAACTATTAAATACGAATTTAATATAACAATGAAAATACATAATACCAATCCAAAGAATTTAACAGGTGGTTTCATGTGTTAAATGTAGTTGTTAGTATTTAGAGATGTTAAAATACGATGTTTTATTTTTTTTTTATACCATATTAATGTATTTAACTACCTTATATAGAACCTTGCAATATTTAAAGTCACGATACCAAACATGATATACTTAGGCCGCAGAGATTCCCAACCAGGGTGCCGCGAAAGTTTTTTAGGGTGCCGCGAAATTATTTGAAATATTTTTTTAGAAAAAACAATTTCATTAAAAACAAATACAATGTAATAATTTGTTTATAAAATGTAATATGTATATTGTATATACTATGCACCTAAAACCTTACTACTTTTGATTATACTTATGCACTAATAAATAGAACCGAACTACTCTATAGTATAGACTATAGACTATAGAGCATAGGGTGCCTCCGGATTTTTAGAAAATGTCCAAGGGTGCCGCGAGTCAAAAAAGGTTGGGAACCTCTGACCTAGGGACTAGAAATAATTTTAATTTAAAATAACGTAGTTTCAAATTTACAATAACTCAAAGTAAATAATATTTTTAAATATCAAATTAATTTTCTTATCATTTTAACTCATAATTTTTTTTAACAGCCTGTAAAAAAACTATATTATATTATTATACCTATACATATGTTGTAGTATCACAAAAAATCACTAAAGAAACATTTTGATACAAATCAGCTATAAATGAAAACTACCTATTACTTTAGTATTTATTTTATAATCAAGGTACTACAAATAATTTGATATATTATATTTTTAAAAATAATTTTAGAATATATTGTTATATATATAAGCGTCAAGTGGACAGTGGCGTACATACGGGGGGGGTTTTCGGGTTCAAACCCCCCCCAGGACCAAAAAAAAATAAAAAAATAATGTGATATTATTGATGAATTTCTTATTATTAATCAACCGTGTATACACAAATATACGTCATTATAATATGACTATTGAGCAAACAGTAAACATTATACCAAACCAACAACGAAAAAAGATTTCATAACGAAATTATGGGTGCCGTATAATATGGTATACCAATCAAAATAGACATTATTTTGATCGTACACAGTCAGTTAGTTGCGTGCGGATATAAATACATATTAATATGGTCTTTATCTCGACCGACTCATTATAAACACACAAGACTTTGAGTTTTTTTTTTTTTTAACTCAGTTAAGTTATTATGCATACACATATAGATATAGTATATATTGTATTTTTAAGTACAGAAGTTACCTATCACATAAGTAATAAGTAATAAATAATAATAAATAAGTATTATATATTTTAGTTGTCTTTCAAACAGATATTATTTGTGTACATCATAATACGATGAGTATTGAGTAGGTATTTTTAATTTTAATGTTTAACTATCAACGTGAA